CTGTCCTGTCCCGTGTCACACTCATCTCTGATACACTTGAGCTGAATGCTGTAGTCACCATGTCAATCCATCTTGACGAGGGTCTTCCTCTTTCACTGACCCTCCAACCTGCCAAGCATGATGTCCTTTTCCAAGGAATAGCGGCCTCTCCTAGCAACATGTTCGACACAGGAGAGACAAAACTGTGCCATCCTTGCCTCTGGTTGCACCTTTTCCAAGATGTACCTGTTCCTCCTTTTGGCAGACCGTGGGATATTTAGTACTTGTCTCCAGCACCACAGTTCAAAGGCATCAATTCTTCTATCATCTTTCTTCCCTGTCCAGCTCTCACATGCATAGGGAGTAACTGAAAAGGCCATGTCCTCAATGAGGCGTACCTTAGTCTTCATACGGAAATCATTGCTCTTCGGTATTCTGGAGAGGTCCCTGAGAGCACACTTACCCAAAGCTGTATGTTTCCTTATCTCCTGACTGGTGGTACCAAGTGTGTTGATGGTGGATTCAAGTAAGACAAAAATCATTACGTTTCAATCCCTTCTCCACTTATCAGGATGTTGCCTGGGGTCTGGTGGTAAAGACTTTTGTTTTCTTGTTGTTACGATGCAATCCATATTGAAGGCTGTAGTCTACGACCTTCTGCAACAGCGCTTCAGGTCCTCCTCAGTTTGAGCAGACAAGGTTGTGTCATGTGCATAGGGCAGGTCGCTAGTGAGTCACGCCCTGCTCCTGAGGCCACATTCTTCTTCAGACAGCCCAACTTCACATATTCTTTGCTCAGCCTACAGACTGAATAAGTACAGAGAAAGGATACACCCCGACACACACATTCCACATTTTAAACCATACAGTGTTCTTTTGTTCTGTGCAGACAACAGCTTCTTGGTCTAGGTACAGGTTTTGCATGAGCACAATCAAGTGTTCTGGGATTCCCATTCGTCTCAATATTAGCCATAGTGTGTGTGGTTGCCACAGTCAAATGCCTTTGTATAGTCAATAAAACCCAGAGAAGACATTCTTCTGGCATTCTCTGCTTTCAGCCAGAATCCATCTGACATCAGCAATGATACCCATCTTCCCCTTCCCATACCCACTGTTCAACTGTATACACCTGAATATCAACTGAAGTTCCCCAAAACCATGGTCCCTCTGAGGGACAATCGCTCTATATTGTCTCTCCTAGAAAGTTCTCTCAGCTCATTTAGAAAATGGGGTGTTTTTTTGAGAAAGCACAGTATCCTCATATGTTCTCAACTGATAAACGTTTTTACTTCACAAAGATTGCCTGTAGAATCAAGAAAAAGAATACTCAAGTGTGTACAGGGGACAGGGCCTGCTGTCAGGATTAAGACATAAAACAGTCCATCAAATCAACAAAAGCCTCACAAATATCACACCCTCAGATTACTATCTCAATAGTAGTGGAGAACTCCTTGCCATCAGGTTGGAACTGACCCATTGCTGATCCATCAGTGGGTTTTCAGAGGCAGTAAATCGCCTGGGAGGAGACTGTCCATCTTTCTCCCATGGGGCACCTGGCAGATATGAACTGTGTACCTTAAAGTTGGCAGACCTACTCCCTATCGACTAGGCCACCACAGGTCCCTAGTAAGGGGATGTCATCGTGTACCGTCAAGTGGGTGCTGACTCGTAGCTGAGCCTCCTGGTGGTTTTCCGAGGCGGAAAATTACAAGGAAGGAGACTGTCCGTCTTGCTCCCACAGAGCACGGAGCGCCTGGTGGATGTGAACTGCGTGCCTTCGGGCTGGCAGCACAGCTCCTTACAACTAGGCTACCAGAGCTGCCGGGTAAGGCCGTACATCTTTATAATAGAAAGAGGCAGTTACAAAGAGGAAAACATAACTCCCTAAGAAACATGTCCGATGGCGGCCATCCTTTCAGGTGGGCCTGGCCTTGCTTGCCACCTGCTCTGATAGATGCGAACAATCACACTTCACAACCACGAGGGAGAACTCTACGGAGCCAACAGCTCTTCCTAGTCTCTCTTGGTCTGAGAGCTGTGCCGAAACCCGTTCAGTTATCAGAGCCACACACAAACCTCCAGTGACAGACAGGTGGTGTGCATGTTGATGGTGCACAGCAAGGGATCAAGCCCACGTCTCAGCATGAAAGACGCAAACAGCAGCCCCGAACCACCAAGCTTCCTTCAGCACGCCCTGTCAGGCTTCAAGGGCGCAAAGCAAAGCAGGGTCCAAATCGGCTTCTCTGGCAGCTGGTCACCAACAGCCGGTACTGCCTCTCCAGCGGCCTGTAGGGCACTCATGACAGGATGTGGAAGCCCAGTCTGATCACCGGAGAACCACCTCCCACAGCTTCTGAGGCCTCAGCCAAGGGGATAAAGCCATCAGCCCCGATGTCACAGAGTCACTCGGAAGACCAAGTGAGACAAAGATTCTGAAGGACTTGGAAAACAGTTATGTAAAAATAAACTAAAGTTATTTTCATCCCATAGTGATGAACAGCTGAACAGGTGCGTGCTCAATTAACACAATTCTATTACAGGTGTACCCCAAAGCAAATGTGTCACAAGGTCCCCAAGACACATGGACAAGGATATATGTGCACAGGATTATTCAAAACAGCATGAGTGTGAATGATCTCCTAGAACATGTGATAATATGGATGATTCCCACAAAGGAAAGCAGATGTTGAAGAAAAGTACTGACTATCCCATGGACTGCTACAAGAACAAACAAGTCTGCCCTGGAGAAGGCGCAACCAATGTGCTCTTTAGAGACAAGGATGGCGAAACTTCATCTCACATACTCTAGGGAGGCCAATCCATGGGAAAAGACATCACACTGGGGCAGAGGGTCATCAAAAGAGAGGGAGAACTTGGGTAAGACGGACTGGCACAGTAACTGCATCAAGGGGCTCAGGATGGTTCAGATCTATTGTTCAAAGGGTCACCAGTAGTCACAGTTGACTTGACGGCACTTAACAACAACAATGTGCAAGTCATTGCAACAATGATGTTACCCAACGGTCACTCCAATGGGGAAAGAAGATATTTCACAAGTAGTTCTCAATAACTCAATGTTCATATGTAAAGAATGATGTTGGACCCCCTACCTCACACCACACATAGAAGAATTCAAAACGGGCCACAGATCTAAAGGTAAGAATGAAAACTATAAAACTCTTAAAAGATACAGGGGTAAAACTTCATGACTTTGGTTAGGGAAGTCTTCTCAGGTATGATACCAAGGTTCCAAGTCAGTGGATCTGAAGAGAGGTCTGGCATTCGAAGGTGGCCTGCAGACCACACTCTAACAAGCCAGGCTAGAGGAGACCTGGGAGGTGACTTCTCGCTCAGGGAGCCGAAGCCACTAATGCCCGCTTTATTAATCAGCACTTCCAAGCTTATGCACTGTGTCATAAAGCAGACACAAACATCAAAACATTAATTCACTGGCATCTGCTGACGTCCTTCTCCCACCCATCCCTATCCTCTGTGATAGCTACGCACTCCTTATTTGTCATGACATCCCCAGCACTCAGCGAAGGTGTGGAGAATGGAGGCTCTCAGTTAAGTGCTTGTGACCTGATGTCCTCCGTGGTCCTGGCAAGCTTTGTCTCCGCACACCAGCTTCTTGGGAAGATCTCTGCTGATTTGCCCGTCTTACTTGTTTGCTTACAAATTCCTTAAAGAGAGGGCCTCTCCCCTCTGTTCGACAGCAAAGGGACATTCAGTAATGCCTAATGACTTGACAGGGATGTCTCTACAGAATAAACATGCTATATTTAGGTCCCTGGAGAGAAAATACAAGAAAATACCCTGAAGCTGCAATTCTCCTTTCTAAGGACTTTAAAATGCTCATATGTATCTTGTCCTCACAGTGGCTCGTCACTTCTACTTAATAAATAAGAAAACGGTGAGAAGGCATACCCTGCCATCATTACAGTATGCTTTACTCATAGACAAACCCCTCAACATAGGGAAGAAAGAAAACATGGAACGAACGGTACCTCGGTCTTCCCACATTCCTCAGGCGGATCCTGGTGTACGGCCATTTGATACTTGGCATATAAAGAAAATGACTGGCGGAAGGACGACTTGAACTCTGGGTCCTCAAAAGAGGCAGGTACTAACCTCACCTTCAGAGCAAGGGAAATACAAGCAAAGGCTATTGAAACATTCCTACCAGGAGGCACACTTCTGAAGGTGAGGCTAGGGTCAGGTCTCCGCAAATCCACCGCCAAAGCACAACACTGCCATCTGTCGCGAGTCACGGCGGGCACCCGGCCCTGGAACGGGCTGGCGGCACAACGCCTGAGCACCGACTTTCCAAAGACGGAAAACTGAAATTCACAAGGGCCAGACCACTTCTGTTTGTCTGCACCTCAGTGCGACCACTGTGATTCTGTGCACACTCGGGAGTCAACACTGCTGCTAACACTACCACCGGGACTGTTGCCTTTTCTGCACTCCTCATCTGGAGGGGTCGGCCTGTCTCCCTTTCCACACTTCTCTTGGATGATGTAATGAATGAAATGATAAGGACATCAGGACTTCGATTCAACATTTCGCTAAATTAATTTTTTTGTCTAAGCGGGGCACGGGCAGGACATTACCCAAGCATCACTTAATGGCTGGAATGTGTTCTGAATCTCAATGTGGATAAAGCACATTAATGGTGTTAAAAACAGTGGTGGGCTTCTTCGTGTAGGTATTTTAACTTAAAGCTCTATGAATATTGTCATTACTGGATTTTACATAAATGCATTTAACCGCTGTGACTTTAAAGAAAGAGAATTTATGGGCAACTTTCCAGTATGAAATTCTATATATGGCTGGCACTTGACAAAGGAAGTAGGTGAAGAGTTGCACTTTCAGAAAGTCCACTAATTCAGGCTTATCTCTTTGCAGGTATGTTGCAAACTGACTATAAATAAAATGTACCACAAACAGAGGAAGGATTTATACGATGGCATCGAACGGAGGGGAAGTTCCGTGTGAACATTCCCACGTGGCCTGCTGACCTGGCTCACAGCTGGTTTATCAGATGGGTCCTTGTGAACAATCATCTGGTAACGTTTATAGAGCTGGTAAGACTCCTGGAATGTGGCTTTGAACTGAGAACTTGGTGGAGATGATCTCACCAACCTCACCTTCAGAAGGAGTTAAAAACAAGGTTTAGTAATTCATTTATTCATTTCAGTTACTCCCATCCAGAAAGAACCAACACACACACCAATGCACAAACATACAGTGATAGGATCTTAACATTAGAAAGGAAATGGTTCGTGAGTAAGACAGTTATGTCTCCAGCATACAAAACATAGAGGTTTGTGAGCAAGGAGGAAGATCGTTAAATCCCCCATGCCCGCTCTGATCTCACGGCTCACGGTGCCCTTACGACAGAGGCCGTCATCTTTACGGACACAGATGCCTCATCTTTCTTCCAGGAAGAAGCCGGTGGGTGTAGACCACCAGCCCTTCACTTAGAGACCCTGGGCTTCACTGCTGTGCCATGAGGAATCCCTCAGCACTGAGCTGACTGGATCAGCTACACTGTTTATACTGTGAAACTTCTGGTAAACGCGTCACAGACACAAAAAGGAATACTGGTTTCACTGTATACAACTCACCTTCATCAAGGCCTTCCAAAGAACCAAAATTGAGAATATATTTGGGGCACATCTTTATTCACTGTGACTAATTCCAAGCTTAAAGCTGTGTTTGTAAGAGGGGAGAAGTCACCATTTCTCATAGGAGTTATGACTGATGACTTAAAGTCAGATGTCCTCTGTTCAAATACAACTGTACCATCTTGGTGAATGACGTCCTATGCCTCAGTTTCCTTACACAGAAAACCAAGATGAGTAAAAGACACCTGGTAAGAACTAACATTTGCTGAATCCTTAGTATCACTTTAGTATCCCTGTTATTCCTACCATAAGTAGCTGGGATAAAACACTGAACTTTTCATAGGAAGACACCAAACATCATACTCTTCTAAAGTTTCTGAGTATGTGGGCTACAAAGCTCATTTTCTTTTATGTGCTACTTTTTCGTTTAAAAAAATCTGCATCAAAAGAAGCAGACAAAAAAAAAAAAGAAGCACACAATAATGAAGCTTAATTGAGGCAAAATTTAAAATGGAAGAAACAAAATGACAAAAATATTCTTGCTGATGCTAATTTACATACAATATGGAAAAGAGCCAGGATAATTGGGTAATAATCATCAGTTAAAATATATTAACAAAACAAAAAAGAAACAATAAAATGTAATATAATAAAGTCGTAACTACACAGTGTGTGTGTGCACGTGTGTGTATGTGGGAATATGTGCCCCTCCACGCAGGCAGTTGTCCTGTGATGAAAAAGTGACGCCTAGTAGATACAAAATCTCTGTACATCTTGGGTTTTAAAAAGCATGTAACTCAAAACTCATTGCCATCGAATCCGAGCCAATTCACTGCTGACTCTCCAATGGGTTTTCTGAGGCTACAGATCGCTCTGGCGGAGACAGCCCACCTTTCTAGCTCAGGGCCATGGGGGAATCCAAACCTCCAGGGAGGCACAGGCTTTGGGTTCTCAGAGCAACACCCTGCCAACTAGGCCACCAGAGCTCCTCTTACAAAGTCCCCTCCAAGGCTGGCCCTGAGCAGAACCAGGTTAAAAAGGTAAGATAACGCAACTGTTGGGAGGTCTACGTGGCTTCTCTTGGAGACAGTACTATATGTAATCAATCAAACAAAAAAAACCTCCTCATAAAATATAAATGTATCAGCTAAAAAAAATCATAAGGCAGGCAATGTCTAAGAAATACACTTCCCAACCTTTGTATGAAAAAGGTCCAACAGAGTAGGCAAGGAAGTTAGTTTTTTAGTATCAGATCTTAAGCAATAAGTGAAATTCATCGATGACACTAAACTATAAATTGAATGCTGACATGTCACTAATCAAGTATGAGAAAATGACAGCTTCAGCACTGTTAATGCTTTCACAGGAGCCCCGACGGGCGAGCACATTACATGCCTGATACAGTGCAGACCCACCAGCCCCTCGTGGCGTGGACATGAGGCAGCCGGTCATTCCCCATCAAGATCCACAGCCTTGAAAAGCTGATGAGTGTTACCATGAGCTGAACTGACTTGAGGGCAGTGAGTTTTGAAATGCTTTTTAATGTTTCAAGTATCAAAACTAATACTGAGAATCTATACTTGAACTTGATCTGGAAAGTGTAGGTCAATGTGGAAAAAAATTTAAAAAGGCCTGTGGTCAGTAAGTAGCCACATGACCCCTGAAGTGGTTTGGGGGCAACGAGGAGGAGGGGAAGGAACTCTGGTGGTGCAGCGGTTAACGAGCTACGCTGGCTGGCAGTTCAAATCCCCCTCCACCAGCGGCTCCAAGGGAGCAATCTTTACCCAACGGCTTAAGAACCTCTAAGAACCTCCAAATCCCAGCGTGGGGTCAGCTACGTGATGGTTCCAACTGGACGCAATGAGTAAGTGAGAGCAGCTGAGACACTGGAGGTAATTTAGTTCACTTAGTTCTCAGCAGTGGAGTTCCTAAGTGTTGGCTTATTAGTATCAGAGCGTGAAGTGGCTAAAACAATGACTGCCAGGTGTGGTCTGTGTGTTCTCCTTTAATCCATAAACCCAAATGAAATTTTTAAAAAGTTACTTTTTCACTCTTGCTGTCAGTCATACGAAAACAAAAGAACTAGAATAACTGTAAGATTAGAAAGTTAAAATTAGGACTGTTAACCGCAGGATCCTCACTGATGTTTGGAAAATCAGTACCCAAATTTGCTGGTGAAATCCTTTCTCTTATTCCCACTTGTAGAGAATCTTTTCAGATGGATTTGGGTTTGTGTGTTTTGTTTTTTAAACTAATAAAGTTTTTTAAACCAGTCCAGAAATTTAAATGTATTTGAAATGATGATGTATATACTTGGCAGTTGGATTTTCAGATTTGTAAAAATAAACATCCACATTGGGAAAGAAAAAAAAAAATTAGGACTGTTACCATAGCTTTAGTAGCCAACCTGCCTAATGTATTTTTAAAAATCCACAAAAACTTTTAAAAAGTAGTCTGAAAAGAGGTGTCTCTCAAATAGCAATGAATGTGGTTAATGCAAATGCTTGCCCATCTAAATTTACTTTTAATTTCTTGTTTGGTAATATCAAAATATTAATTGATTAGCATTAACCCAAATGAAAATAAACAAAGGACCCAATAAAGAAAAAAATAATTACACAACCTATCAGACAAGGGGGAAGAACCGCTCTGAGTACCTCTAGCTTGTGTAGTGCACCTTCTGGCAGAGGTTCAAAAATTAAATCTTCCAGGGACTTGGGCTGGTTGGATCTGGCCTTTGGTGGCGTGCAGGGTGAGGGGCCACCCTGGGGCTGGGGTCCAGGCAGCGCCCCACCAGGGTTCTGCTGCATCAGCTTTAATCTTTTCCTTTCTTTTCGGATTTCCTTTGCTTTTCTACATGGAGGCTTACTCAAATCAGCACCTTTACCTAAAAGAGATGTCAAGACATCAGACCAACCACATTAGGCTCTGGGAACATATCTCAAAGATTCTACAGAATCAAGCCAAAGAGTTCTGATATGTTAAGCTTTGGGGCAGGCATTGCAAAGGGTGTGGAGAGCTTTCAGAAGACATAACCTTGGGGAGAAGTTGATCTCAAAGATTTTTTTACCAAAGAAAATTGTCACATGAACTTTTATTACTGATAAACTTAGATTGTTTATTATTTTTTTCAATGTTTCTGTTTAGGGGATGGTGCTTCCAGTACCATCTGTCAGTTATCAGACAGTACTGAGAACTACTTAGAAACCAGGTGCAAATGTGTATAGTCACAAAACATACTTACAATACAAACAGAAACCTCTGTCTAGTTACAGGAACTGTATCCCTCTCCAGTGAACTAAAGGGTCGTAATGGTTCAGTTCCAGTTGAAGTTTTAATCACAAGACTAAACATCAATTAGAGGAAAGGATGGTGACATTTCATCTCAACAACTCCGGGCATGTTGTCAGGAGGGGCTAGTCCTTGGACGAAGGCAGCGGGCTGGGAAAGGTGGAGGGTCAGAGAAAGTGAGGGACATCCTCCAGAACACGGATTACAGAGGGACTGTGACAAGGGGCTTGAGCTCGGTGGGGACGGTGGGAGCATGCAGGACAAGGTTAGGTTCTAACAGGCTATTCACAGGGTCACTGTGAGCGGCAGTGAACTTGATGGCAGCTAACAGTAACAATCCCAAGTCAAAAAGAAAGCATTTTGTGCAACATAATCTCGTTACCTGGCTTTGGAGGGGCGTGGACTTTAACGGGACATGACGGCTCACCAGAGCCCAGTTTCTCTTCCACGTGCTGTGACTGGATTAATGTAGGGGGCTCCTCTTTCTTCGAGGTTATGCCTTGCTGCTTCTCTTCACTCTGTAAGCTCTCTTTGAGGTCATCACTTAGTGCACTGAGGTCACACTGTATATCCAATTTATTGATTAATGCGAAGTCCCCTGCAACAGTTGGCTCCACTGTGGAATCCATGGGCTCATCTACGAATCAGGAGACATGAAAGCCATCAGCCAGGCTACCTGACACAGTTACAGACACAGGAAAAGCAGCCTCCTTTACCCAGACAGCCCACACCACTGCATTCTCTACCAAACCTGTTCTACGGTCTTCCAAGGTCAAGGAACTGCAAACAGACCTGGACCTCACAGGGGACCACATTCCTGCCCTCTCTATATGTGAGACCAAGCTCTGCAAGTGGTATGTGAACAAAAAGGTCCAACCTCTGTCTCAGTTTCTTAAGAAGAAATGTCATCCTGGGGTCCCACCCCTTCTCTTGCTCACTGGAAGCAATCAATATCAAGTACACCCATTTCCAGCTCCTCAGCTCCCCTCACCCTCACCGTCTCCTTTGGTAATTTCCCCTTTAGTCAGAAACTTCAACATTTTTTTCAAAACCTTCTTGTGGGACTTTGATGGCTGAAACTGCAACGGCCGGCACCTAGGAAAACAAAACAAATAAACAATAAAGCAAACTCAGCCTCTAAGAAATCAAGTCAATGTCGGTTACTCTCTGAATCAGGAAGTAAATCTTACACCTGCGATTTCTGGTTACAGACAGGGCCGAATGTAGCCTCTAATCCCTTCTCCTCACTAATACTATGTTAAAAAATGTACCCAAAACCCACACAAACCCGCTATGACAAAGAGCCTGGGAGAAATGTTAGAAGTTGAAAAGTAGATGGTTACTGATTCAACAGAAAACCAGACAAAGTCAAATTCTAAATCTACACTGAGAAAGGTCAAAAGAGGTCCAGTTTTCTGTACAAAATAAAGTCTTAGGGACCATGGTGATGCTGGACACTGGTAGAAATACAACTTAAATTTTTTGGAAATTAGATTCTGCCTTCCTCTGTGCAGCCAGATGGCAGCCCTAACACCAGCAACAAACTGCAAACGAGAGAATCAAAACCAGGAGCATGTACATGAAAGTTATGGGCCAAGGGGAAGACAATTTCCTCCCAGCAAAGGAGGGAGAAAAGGTGAAGGAACGTCTACATACTCAAGGTTGAGACATCAAGCCCTCCTTTCTCGCCTCAACCTTCAGAGTAGTGTGATCAGACCTAAGAATGGTGACAGCAGGGATCCCCCAGTCCATGTCCCCCCCCCGCCATGCACAGTCCACAGTAATCCTGGAAAGTTAGAATCCCCAAACACTTGACGAATGCTTCCATTACAATGTCAGGGGCCAGGCAAACTGGACGGGGTGAGTCAGAGGTATGGGCCTGGGAGGTGTGGACTTAAACGTCAATCTATCTGCTGGCACATTTCCTACAGTAAGTGCTTCTTTGTCACATGTGGGCAAGTCCCACATATTTCATACTTTGTCATGCCACAACATACTTATGGACTAGAGCGCAGTATAAACATAACTTTTATAGGCACTGGGGAAAAGTTCACGGGACTCACTTTAGTGCAGTATTTGCTTTACTGTGGTGGTCTCAGACCTGATCCTGAAGTATCTCCAAGGTATCCCTGTATTATTAACCACTATTTATCAGAGCACAAACATAAAAGTACATACAGGAGATGTAACTTTTTCTTATACACAATGTCTATCTAGAGTGGAAATAAATTCTTTTTAAAAAGCCAAACAAGAAGATTCTACTAGAAAATTTTCAATCATACTATAGATCCTGTTACTGAAACTCCAATTCTTACCTTATTGTGTACTGAGGACAACATGTCTCATTCATGACAGGCTTGTACACATATTTTCCACTCCTGAAATTACAAAACATTTCTATTAGCTCATTATATAGTTTTTAGGAGTGCCAACATAGATGAATACAGGAATACTAACTTCCTCAAGGTGAAGCCACAATGGTGTAAAGGAGCATTTACGTGGAATAATCGGATCTTGTAGACCAGGCAGGTACCCCAGTGTCCAGAGCAAATCCTCACACTGCACTCTATGGGTAAGCTTCTCACTGGTCTTCTCCTTAGCACTGACATCCTGAGCCGACCTGCCCCCAGGCCTGAGCACTACGTGAGGGCACTGAGACGGCACACGCGTGTGTGTGTGGGACCAATGTGCATCGCCACCTGTGACATTCATACTTCAGCGTCCCACACACATTAGCACAAAGTTCTCAAACACTTGAGACTTTCCATTCTCGTGTCCCATCTGTTCATAACAGAGTCAATCATGCCACTGCTCAAAAACCTGGGAGGCATGTCAGGTCTCTCCTTCTCATTTGCCCCTTTGATCTCTAAACTGTATCTGAATTTGTCCCCTCTTATTGACCTGGAAGGGAGCTCTGGTGGCTTAGCGGTAAGGAACTGTTCTGCCAACCCAAAGGTACACGGTTCAAATCCACCACTGCTCCAACGAAGAAAGATGGGCAACCTCCCCACAGCTGACTGAGTGTTCTACAGCGTCACTACTCTCAACGACTCCATGGCAACTAGTTTACTTTCTCGATCTCACAGTTTAAAGTAGTTTTGTTCCATGACTGAAAACTTAACTCTCACTCATACTTGACTTAGGTAACTCGGAAGAGAAGACTGTAGGCTTGGAGTTAATCTAAAACTTTTGAGATGTATGATGAGAAGCATATGAGAAGGGTATCAATTTGGGGGGATTGTTGTTGGGGGGCAGTTGCGTCAGAACTGATCCACAGCTGACCCTCCGGAGGGTTTTCAGAAGCAGGTTAACAACCCAGGAGGAGACCGCCCATCCTTCTGCTGTGGAGCAGTTGGTGGATTCGAACCTTACACCTTCAGGATTGCAGAGCATCATCTTACCGCTAGGTCACCAGAGGTCCCTTTGGGGGACTAGAGGGTACAATGTTACACCCTTAGTATGAGGTATTGACACAGCACTTGGAATTTACTGTCAAGTACTTCCTCAAATAGGGAGGAGAGGGGCGAAAGGAAAATGATGACCCAACCCGGTCAACACTCTGGAGGATTAGAGACAAGCCCGAGGGCCATCATAACACAGTCGATGCCTACGTGCATGTCAGAGATTTCCAAGCAGATACTTTTCTTACAAGAGAGATTAGAAAACTGCTAAGCTTCATCGGATATATTCTGGACATGCTGCAAGGAGGGACCAGTCCTTGGAGAGGGACATCATGTTTGGGAGATTGGAGGGACAGCGCAGGAGGGGAAGGCCCTCTATGAGGTGGACTGATTCAGTGACTGAGGTAATGGGAGTAGGTGAGTCGGAGACAGTGAGGTCGGGACAGGATAGAGCAGGATTTAGGGCTCTTCTACAGAGGGTCACTATGAGTTGCAAGCAACTTGACAGCACATAACAACAACATACGTATTAACCCTCCTGATGTGTATGTGTATAACACACTGCTGAACTTTGAAAAAAGAGCAAACATTTTAAAGGCCAACGACTTTGCAGTCAAGAAGAGAAGGAAAGCAGGGACCCCCGCATCTGTGAGAGGCGCTCACCTCCGCCACCCGCGATCCACGAGGTCCTGGTAATCCTGAGCCGTCAGGGAGTGTGCCCACATGCCTGAAAGGGAAGACGGGACATCTTCGTGGGCTGCACTTTCTTCTTTTTAAAACTCACAGCATGGTTTTATTCAGTGTGAGTATCTAGGAAACAGACCGATGACACTGGAGAAATACAGATCCGTGTCTTTGCCACAATGGGTGGCGGGGTTACGTGCCATCGAGTCAACGACGACGCAGCTGACGTGAACCCCGCCCCGTGCTGTGCCGCCAGCCTCACCACCCGATGCACCTGAACTGAACTCACTGCTGCAGTCACAGTGTCAAGCCACTTATTGAGGGGCTTTTTCTCCGTCACTCGCCCTCTAGTGTGACATAATTCACAACGTAACGTGTCTTCAAAAGATCAGAGTGATTACATTTAGTTCAGGATTAAGAAAGAGTCTCCGTGGCATCAAGACAAGTTCAGTCTTTTCTATAATTAATGTCATAACACAAAATGTGTACTAATGGTCAAGTGGAAAACCAATAATAAAAAAAACAAACAAATGCATACAAACTTAGGTCCACATTACAATGAGACTCCACCTCATGTATAAACTAGAGGGCGGGGCTCTGGTGGCCTAGTGGGTCAGTAGTTGTGCTGCCAACCCAAAAGCCAGAGGTTCAAATGTACCATTTGCTTCAAGGGAGGAAGACGGGCTCTCTCCTCCAACAGGGGTTTATGGTCTCTGAAGGCTCACTGCACAGTCCACGTTAGTCGGCTCCAACTGAGCAGCATGTAACAACCAGGTCTCCAAGAAGCTGCCCTGCTGGCAAGGCGCAAACCATGCGAGGCTATGAAAAGCCTCAGTTAGTGAAAAGGTGGGCAGTGAGAACACACCACTTGCTCCGTGGAAGAAAGACAGGCAGTCTCTTCTCACGAGGGTATACTGCCTGCAAAGCCTGCTTGAAGGTCGCTGACTCGGCAGCACCTGCCCTGGTGGTGTGGTGGGTTAAGCAACGGACAGTTAATCAGAAAGCTGGCAACCAGAACGTACCAGCTGCCGCACAGAAGAAAGCTGTGGCAGTGTGTTCCCACAGTGACTGACAGCGCTGGGAAGCTGGTGGGATGGTTCTAGTCTGTCATGAGGGCCTGTAGTGAGTGTCAGGACGGGGGTGGGTTTCCTGGGAATATTCCCAATGATCGCTCTGGTCTTTACAGAAAAATGAGAGGGGAAATACTCTTCATGAATATTAATTCTTCTGATTTTCGTACATGTTTCGAGCACAGCCTTGACCTTTGGAAATATAAACGTAAAAGTGAAAGTAGCCTAAGTGCCCAGGGGCTGGAAATGATCATTTTTCATGGAATAATTATACAACCAAAGGGAGCAAAAATGAAGACCAAGAGAAAAACATTAAAAGGTATATTGACATTAAATTTTTAAAAAATAAGTATCTAAAAAAAAGTATATTGACATTAATGTCAAATGAGAGGAGAAAAGAATTTCTCTAATCAGCAAATTGCATCAAATCTACATACAGAGCTTGAGAAAGCAGGAAAAACGGGATTCTGGAATCTACCAGAAAGAAACAGACATCATTAGCAACGCCAACACTACACTCAAGGAGCCTCAACTTTCTCCTCTGTTAAATAGGAATAATAAAACCCACCCAGCCAGTAAACCCACCACCCATTCTGTCAGTTTCTCATACTGTGGTGGTTGCATGTTGAGAAGATACTGTAAGCTACCATGTCACTGGTGGTCCAAAACCCAGCAGGATCAGCCAGGGGCAGGAAGAAGGGCCTGGCAACCTGCTTCTGAGGAAACTGGCCAGTGACAACCTGTGACAGCAGTGGACACGGTCAGTGCTGAAAGGTGAGCCCTCACGTTGAAAGGCACCCCAAATATGGCTGGAGAAGAGCTGCGTTTTCGCAGCGAAGTGGACCTTAATGGCCTGCACTGGAGCAAAGCTTTCAGGACCTGCATTTGCTGATACGCTTCAACTCAAAATGAGAAGAAACAGCCAGAAACAATTATAAATAACCAGAACAAGGAATGTACGATGTAGGAATTCAGGAAGTCGGAAGCTGGAACAAAATAAAGTTGGAAGGTGGAAGTAAAATAAGCTAGAATACCTGCAGACACTCTAGGCATCAGGCCTGAGGTGGACATAACAGAACTTTTAAAATTATGGAATAATATCATTATCATCACACACAAGTAACATTGTGCCAAAGACAAAACACAGCAACAGTACACCACAGGGAACTTGCCAGAAATTCACACGAGGTACATATAGATGTGGGTGTGGAAAGCAGGCTATCAGTGCTGGTATCAAATGGATCTTCACTGAACAGCAAGAGTATCAGCAAGGGTTTACCTGTGTTTTATCAACCACGCAAAGGCATTAGACTGTATGGATGAAAACAAGTAACAGACAACATTATGAATAACGGGAATTACAGAGCACTTAGCAAGCAGAATCTACACACAGATCGAGTGATAGTTGTTCAAACAGCAAAGGGATAAGATGTGGTTTTACATGAAGAAAGGTGTGCTTCTGGGCTGTATCCTTTCCCCATACTTATTCAGTGTATACGCTGAGCAAATCTGAGAAGGTGCACCAACACCGGAGGAAAATTCATTAACGACCTTGGATAGACAGACAACACAACTATCCTTGCTGAAAGTGAACAGGACTTGAAGTGCTTACTGAAGAAAATCAAAGACGACACAGCCTTCAATAGGAAGTATACCTCGACATAAAGAAGGAATACACGGAATCACTGTCCCAAAAAGAATTGGCTGACACTGAAACAGTTCAGGAAGTATCGAATGATCAAGTGGCAATGAATGATTGGTAAGAAGCTCTGGTGGTGTAGTCCACGGAGAGTTGCACTGTTAACCCAAGTGCCACTTGTCTAGCAGTTTGAATTCACCAGCAGCTTCAACAGAGAAAGATGGGCAATCTCCTCCTGAGATTGAACCTCTGAAAAAAAATTGCTGGAGGGTTAATTTTAGGTACATTGTTGCTTGTTGTTAAGTGCCGTGGAGTGGTAGGCAATTAATTCATAGCAAGCGACCCTATGAATGAAAGACCTGGACATTTGTATAATTTCATCCTTTCTTCAGGTTCACAGGGTTTCTAAAGGCAAGCAATTTTGGACGTGGATGCCACACCTGCTTCCAAGATAGTTTTAATCCGAGAGCTCCACCAAACGCTCCACCAAACACTGTCCGCTGGGAGTAACCATTATCGCATTTGACACATCAGTGTCACAGTGTTCAGCTTCACAGCCACCCCAAGTTATCTCTGTACAGCCAAGTGGACAGACCAGAGCTATACGACCTAGAAGAATGATTGAGTAGTATTTACATTTTTTTTTTTTTTTTAGAAATAACCACAACACTAAAGTTCTGGAAAAGAGAACCCTCTCATGCCCTCAGCAAACACTGTCAACATCCTGAACAACTTGGGTCTTCCCAGACCTGTCCATGGTGCCAGTGTGAACCTTTTTTGAGTTCTTCGTTTAATGCTGCACTATAAGAATGTTCCCATTCGGAGGGTCTTCAGAATCATTTCCCCTTCTAACAGCTAAATTACATTTCTTTCCTGCCTTTGCAGAAGCACCATATGAATACTTTTAATGATTGTGTAAAAGATGCCGTCACAGCCCATCCCATTCTCCTATTGCAGGGCACTTGTAAAACGTTTCAAAAGAGGAAATTGTTCAGTTCTATGTCTCCATGGCCATCCTGGCTTCCTCCAGGCGGGACAACTCCGTTAGCAGATAGATGTTTGTAGCAAGTTAATGCATGACAGGGAATGAACACCAGGTTCTGTTTACAGAGCACGCCCAATCATAATGAGTAAGAGAAAAAGAAAACCGGAAGGCTGGCTCTGCTGTCATCCAGGCAGGAGAAAAGAGCTGGGGAAATTCCAAGCCCATCAATACCAACAAGGTCCCCTCGCCAGCACTGACCACGGTCACCAGCTTCGAGGGTGTTCCTTACATTTTCCCTGGGAGTCCTGCACAAGTGTGCACCTGACACTACCTGGGGGTCCTACACACGCGTGCACACGTCACTTAGTTCTGCACAGGTATGCACACCTATGTGTGGTGGGCACAGCACACTGCAGCTAGCTGCACGCTGCCCTCTTGTCCCGCACCCCCGTTTTGCACTGACTCTCGGGGATCCCCCCGCAAGAGCACTTGCAGGTATCAGAGCCCTAAACCCCCCAGCCCTTCCAGCATCGACAGCCCGGCGTGACCGAACCCGGTTCCCAAGCAGGGGCGTCGGTCCGAGGGGCTGCGTGCGTCCCTGGTGCGTGTCCACCGACAGCCTGGCCCTCCGCGGGGATGATGCCCGCTGTCCCGCCCGCCCGCAGGCCCGCCTCGGGCCGCCGTGCACCCCCCGAGCCCGGGGAGGCCCCACGCCGCGGCCCGCTAGCTCACCATTGGAGCGACTGCCCGACTCGTTCTTGCAGTAGCCGCAGCGGTAGAAGTCCTCGCCCTCGAAATACTCTACGATGCTGGGCGACAAGGCAGCCCAAGACGCCATGACCCCGGCCCCC